ACCTCTCCCGCCCCCGAACCCTCCCCGGCCTTCCCTCTGCAGTTTGACACTCTGTTTGAGGCAGCTCTGCCTCTGTATCTATTATGTAAACAGCCAACATTTCTTAGACTAACATTTTTCAGAGCATTAAAGGGGTGAGAATGTTGGCCTTGGGACCTAAAGGCTCAGTGAAGGAGTCCCTTCACCATGTCATGTCACAGAGGAGCTGTGCAAGAAAACTAAAGTTGTGAACCTGGAGGCAAGAGTACTCAGTGAGCCTGAGAAAGGAGAAAATTTCTTGTTCAGAGGAGGGGACAGTCATGGAGGAGATAAGGAGATATGGCGTTTACAGTCCAAGGAATGGCTTGGCCTTATGGTGTAAGAGGGTGAAACTGATGTAGGTGACTGTGGCTTTGAGACAAGTGGACTTTATGAGGGGATATGTAGTAGCCCTGGCCAGGCACCCAGGTAGAATGAGAAAAGTGAATGGGGGAATTTAGTAAGATGCAGTGTGGAGGTGAGGTGGCTAATGGCTGTGAGACTGATCCGTCAACCCTCATAATAGAGACTGAGGAGTGGACAAGGTTCCCAGCGAATTCAAAGAGGGCAGAATAAGTGGCCCAGTGTCGATTAAAAAGGAGATCGGCTTACCTGTCGCCACAGTCGTTCCCCGAGGCTCTGTCCTGGTGATGTAAGTCTGTGGGGCCCCGTCGGGGCCTGGGCAGCTTCTTCAGTGACTGTCCCGGAGGGGCCAGGCTACAGGCTGCTTTCCAGTGGCCTTTCCCTTCCACACCTTGGGCAGGGCCCAGGCGGGGGTCTCGGGTTTGAGCAGGACTTGGCTCACCATCCTTCCTTGCTGCATTTGCCGGAGGAGGCTTAGCCCCTGACTTACCTGCAGTTGGAGGACCGGCCCTTCGTTTGGGGTTCATGAGAGCGGTGGCTAGGAGCTGGAAGGCCTCCTTCTGGGCCTCAGCCTTGGCCTGATCTCACCTTTGTTTTTGGATTTGGGTCTCCTTGTCTCTATTATTAAAGACCTTAAAGGTCAGGTTAACGAGGTCTTTTTGAGGGTTTGTGGACCCCTGTATCTATTTTTGAAGTTTGTAGCGTATTTTGGAGGCTGATTGGGCTACAAAATGGGTGTTTAGAAGAAGGGCTCTCTCTGGGGAGGTGGGATCTAAGGTGGTAAATTTCTGTAGAGGAGGACAGGGCGACATAGATGTCATGTCAAGCAAGTCAGGACATAGGACTGGGTCAGGCTCCTTAGTAAAGGTGGTCGGGTCAGTGGAAAAAGACCTGAGATGCCTCTCAATCTGTGAGGCTGGACATAGAGAATGGGACGTGGACTCACACTATGCCCTCGGTTCCTGCTGCCTCCCTCAGGGGTAGAATGGAGGTGGTAATAGAAGAGGCTGTTGAGGAAGACAGTCTTTGGGTGGACTGAGAATGAGTGTTAGATGGGAAAGGCTGTATTAGAACTCATGTTCTCAGGATTTGGGCTTTCAGGGACGGGGGAGAAGGTGGTTTCTGGTTAAGAGGGTCTGGGTTTTGGGAATCTACTGCAGGTGAGGGAGGGGATGTGTAAGGGGGTGGAGGTTGGTGGTCTGCTGGGTCTAGAGTAGATTCAGAATCAGGATTGTTAGGGGTAAAATGGGTAGAGCAGGACTGAGCGAGAGGATTGGGACTGGAGGGTGAAAAGGCCTGGACGTAGGGAATCTCTGACCATTTTCCATTGCAGGGGCAGCAATTATGTAAGTTGCTCAGTGTATTAAAATTGAAAGTGTTGTTTTCAAGCCATTGAGATTTATTATCTAGTTTATGTTGTTGCCAAACAGTGTTACAAAATAAAGTGAGGTGGTTGGGCATGATCTCACCCGTGAGTGTGCAGAGGGAGCGTCACATGGCCCACGAGAGAGGAAGGGTGAGTGAGAGACCACAAATCCGAAGGTGACTGTTTAGGGCAGGTGTCCCTGCTGCTAAACAAATCACCATGAGAAACAAGAGGTGACCCTCTGGACTGGGCGTCCCCAATCCAGAATGACCCAAAGCCAAACGGCTGAGGAGTCTTCTGGCCCAGCGCTAGGACTTTTGAGATGAGAGACTTTCGAGAAGTCAGTGAGAGTGAGCAGAAGACCTGAGACGAGGGGAATTGTGGAAGGTCACTCACCTAGAGGAGATTGGCCGGTGTGGGAGAGAGGCTCAGCAATGGAGAAGGAGAGATTCCCGGTCAGTGTCCTCCTCAGCTGGTTGGGGAAGATCCCGTAAGGGAGGGAGGCCTGATCGAGGCTGGCAATTGAGTCACACCAGAAGGATTTGGAGGTAAGCCCAGGACGGGCTGCCGCTGCCTACTGCTCCTCCATAGGCTCCTCCATTGGCTCCCTACCCCAGTTTGGGAGGGCCCATAGGGAGAGAGGCTGAATCGAGACCAGCAATCGAGTTCCCTGAGTAGGATTCAGAGATAAGCCCAGGATGAGCTGCTGCTGCCTACTGCTCTCTGAGTAGCAACTCGGGGTGACTGAAGCCAGGATGATGGCTCCCCATTCCCATAGAACCCTCTGGGGTTTGGGCACCAAATGTTAAGTTGCTGAAGGAGGAACGCACAAGGCCAGAGTGGTGAGGGATTACGGATTCATTTGATCATCCACACACCAGGTGGCTGAGCCTGGATGGCTCCAGCACCCAGTGAGGGCAGTCAGCGGCTTCTAAAGGACTTTTGGCGGGCTTTTTCCTGGGTGGGAACTTCTTTATGTAGACCCGGAGGAGAGAGAATGGAATGTGGTCACTGCAAGTAAAATGTGGTCTTCAGCAAAAGGAATGTCCATAGTGAAATGACCTGAAAAGCCAGTTCCCAGGGGAAGGGTATCAACTCAATTGCTCCATCAAACCTAACATTGCGCAACACAGCTGGTCAGATGCAGAATTGGGGCCAAGTAGCTGGAGCCTATGCTCTTCATCACTTTGCTGGTGAGTTTCAGATTTTTAAGTCTAAGCCTCTATAAGAACTACCTTTTACTGTGACCCATATTAAGACGTATGTTCTATAACACAACCCAGCACCATATATATAATTGAAACCACTAATATTTCCTATTGCATTTTATTGTTTGAAACTGCTGGTCACTCCCCACCACACTGACGTCAGGGTCCACTGAGATTTGTGAGCAAAAGTTTGAAGAACAGGCCCCACATTTCCTCCTGCAGCTGGGGGAATTTTGTGAGGATAAAACAGGGTGATGGGTGCCAGACGCTGAGCAGAGAGCCTGGCACACACTGTGTTCCCGACAGAGTGGGGATTATTGTTGACCTTGTAAACACGCTGTAGTTATGGGAGGCAGGGACACGGAGGGGGAAACCCTAACTGGGCCAGAGTTGAATTTCTTGCCAGTTAGCAGTGAGACTGGGAATTCCCCAGTATTTTTAACTTGTATTATCATGGAAATCACTTCAGGAAGAGAGCTGGCTGGCACTCCATCTGTTTCCCCTTCTGCACTGGAAGGGGTACTTTACAGGCTGCTAGCCTCTCGGCGGAGACCCTAGGGAAGCAGTTTATTGATCTGTTTACATCTAACACTGGACACTATCCTTATTCAGGTTTGGTCTTCATAGAGGAGTCCAGCTGGGAGACGCACGCACTTGTTTCCTACTGATGCTTTGTAAATTACTGCTAGTTCAGTGACTTCAGACAACACACCTTTATTATCTTGCAAATGTGCCAGAGACCAATTCCAGCATGACAGCAGGGCACATCTGGGAATGGCTAAAGGCATTTCCCCAAACCTGAATAGGATGCATTAAATTGATTTCTTGGCTGCCAGACAGCTCAGGGCATCTTAATCTACATGTTATTGCCTCCTACTGGCCAAACACCTGAACAGGCGTAGGCTTCCTAATGCCGCGACCCTTTAATATAGTTCCTCATGTTGTAGTGACCCCCAATTTCCTTGTTATAAATGGAACATAATTAAAGCATAGTGATTAATCACAAAGACAGTATGTAATTATATATGTGTTTTTCGATGGTCTTAGGCGACCCCTGTGAAAGGAGCGTTCGACCTCCAAATGGGTCGCGACCCACAGGTTGAGAACTGCTACCTTAGAACTTAGCTTCTTTAGCTAAGCTCCTCTGACCCCCAGTGCCTTTCAAAATTATATTTCGTCTCCGGATCCTTTATTAGTCTCTGGATTCCTATTTAACATCTACGCACAGCCTTTTCCAGATTCCTGAACCCTTCTTGATGCTGGGACAAGAACCCCGGCACAAATGCATTGTCTTCTAGAGGTCAGAAGTCTGAACTGGGTCTCACTGGGTAAAAGCAAGGTGCTGGCAGGACTGCATTCCTTTCTGGAGGCTTGAGGAGGATCCATTTCCTCCCCTTCTCCAGCTTCTGTCTCCAGGCCCCTCCCTCCTCCTCCCAAGCCTGCAGCAGCTGGTTGAAGCCTTCTCACACCAATCCCTCTGATTGGGACACTGACTCATCACCTGGCCTGACTGCCTCTTCCATCTGCTAAGGACCCTGTCAGGACCTGGGGTCCACCTGCATAACCCAGATAGTCTGTTTTCAGACCCTGGATTGAATCACGCCTGCAAAGTCCCATTTTCCCTGCAAGGTCACACTCAGAGGTGCCAGGGATTAAAACTCGGACCTTTGGAGGGGAAAGGGGCAACTGTTCTGCCCAAGCCAGAAGACAAGCCACACAACAGTGCCTAGAGCAGCGGGACAGCACCTAACGTCACCCAGCACTTGCTTACGTGGATTGTTTCTTGTTGAGAACCGGAGGCTCTGGAAGACAATGCCGACTGCCCAAGGTCACACCCACAGTTAGCACCAGGGCTGCCTGTCTTCAAGGTCATGCCCTCAAGCACCAATGTGTGAATTCAGTGGTTGCAGCTTCTCCCCATCACAGACTCACTTTACTCTCTTCCCCAGGAACCTTAATTTGAAAGATATTGTATGTGAATTTTTTTCATTAATGAAAGCAAATTTCTAGTAATGTCTGAGAACTTTGAGCTAACCTCTTTGTCTCTTTTGAGATTTATATAGCTTTAGCCACAATGATGCAACTTAACATTTTATTTAATGTATTTTGGCATCATTTTGGAAAAATGAAAACAGGAGCTCACATAACCCTGTTCACAGATGCCTACGAGTCCAGAGCAGAAGGGAATCAATGAGTGAGGCAGTCAGGAGAAATGGGTCTGACTCAGTCTCAAAGAAACAGAGATTTGGGACAGACCAAAGAATGAAGAACATGAATGGCACCTAGGGAGTGGGACCAGGTTCACGACACAGGAACCTGCTAGGGAGAACGGGAAACAATGACTTTGTACAGATACCTGCACCGAGGCCGGGAAACACAGCCCCACAGGTTAAATCACTCAGGCAGGAAGGGTGCTGGAGGCTTGGGGAGGCGCGTCAGCTAGAACACAGACAGGAGGAGTGAGAAAGGAGCCTTGTAACTCACCTCTGGGAGGGAAACCTGCCTGGAGATTAACTTCACTATATCCCCTTTTAATTTTTCTAAATTTTATACAATGCACATGTATGAGAGAATGTAAGAGATAGATACATGCATATAATGATAATATATAAAGTACATGTAACATATAGATACAACCATGTAATGTATGCATGTAATATATATATGCCTGTGATATATAGATACGTGCGTATAATATATAGGTACACATGTAATATGTTATCCATACAAGTAAAAAACAGATATATAACATATTAAATATCTACAATATATAGGTGTGTGTAAAATACAGATACATATATGTACTATGTCATAGATGCATGCACATGTAACACATGTATGTAATATACCTGTTATATATTATATGCAACATATAGATGCATGCCTGTAATGTGTTTTATGTGCCTGTAACATATAGATACATGCATGTAGCATAGATACATACACAGAATATATTATGTAATGCATAGATACATTTACATAATATATACATGTACATAAGACTGTCTTTACTGACCCCAAGTACCTTACTTAAATAAACCAGGCATCTATTCTAGGCACACATAGGAGCTAGGATGAACCTCCTCCCTTCTGCTCACCCCCAAGTAAAGCTAGTTCAGAGATTTTCTCACTGTTCTGAAAAATCCCTCTTTTGCTCACCTGCTCCATGCTAAGCATCCAGAGCCTGGCGCCAAACATGTCACTTTCCTTTCATACGCCTGCCCAGGGTGGCTGAGCGCCTACGACAGAACTGACTCAGAAGGCTCACAGGACACCGCCACTCACCCCGGGACCCATGATCAGCTGCAGAGTCACACGCAGCCCAGCCCAGCCCAGGATCCTGGCTCAGACAACACCTGCCAGACGTCCTCATTCCCACCCCAGGCTCCACACCACCACGGAGATGGCGGCAATTTGCCTTTTCAATTAGCATGCAGCTCCAAGGGGATTTCTGTCTCATAGATCAACAGGGACCTACTGCTGTCCACCTGGCTTGTTTTTAAGAGCTGGCTAATGGGACAGCTCCTCCAGTGCTTCTGTGGGCGGCTGCTGGATCTCCGCACTGCCTGAGCACTACTGCGTGCTCTCTCTGTGGTACGGGAAGCTCGACAGTCAAAGCAAGCACCCCGTAGGCCTGGGCAGCCAGCCTGTGGCATTAGTGCCGCGAAGGGAGGCTCAGGCAAAGGAGGCTCTGGGATTCCTTCCCTGCTGCGATGTGTAGGGAGAGCTGCATTCGGAAAGAACTTGATCAGGCTGTGGCTTCACTGCATTCAATGTCATAGTGTTAAGCACTTGTTCAGAGTTTGGATGTTATCCATGAGGTTATTTAAACAAGAACAAGTTACAGCAGGCACAGGAGGGATAACAGATCAAAACTCACTGTGCGGCCAGATCCAAAAAGCTAGCTTGGTTACTCTTCACGCATTTTGCCAATGTTCATGTGTAAGATCACATGCTACATTGTGTGAATGAAAGTGTTATAGCCAATTACCTGGTCTGCCTGTCTTACTTGTGTCAGTCAGTACAGAAATATTCCTTGCACTCCTCATAGAAGAGTAATTTTAGAAACTATCCAAGGATGGAACAATTGCTAAGCCTCTAAAACCTGTTCTCTCCTCTTGGAACACCTGGGAGGCAGGAAATATGTTGCCTCTTGCTGCATGTGTCGCACAGTGTTCACCCTCAAATGACTGGAAACCAGGTTAAAGAAAACCTTAGGGTAGAGCCATGATTCAGAATTGAAATTAGTTCATGTGTCATATTGATGAGGCACTTCCAGGCGTGTCATCTCATTTGTTCCCACCGTAACCCTCATGAACGAGGAAAGCGGATAGGTACCGTGGGCACTGAAATGGAGACTACAACCAAGCACGACCCTGCTAACATGTTTTATATGAGTGACTGAGGACAAGCACTGTGGAGACTCCCAGAGCCTGTGCCCAGCTACCCACAAGTTACAGAGAAGATATTGCAAACGCATGGTATGGCACCTACTCTTAAAACATTCACCCCTGGGGGTAGCCACCAGCGGTCCCTAAAGACACCTTCTTGTGCTGGAACTCTGTCGCCCTGTAAAATGTGCCAGAAGTCTCTGGGAGCAGCTTTGCCCCAGCTGTCACACCAACAGTGGTCCTCCACCTTCACATCACCTCTTCCCATGTTTCCTAGGCATTTCCACTCTACAGAATAACTGTGAGTCCATTCTTCAGTCCCTGCCTCTCTAATCACCTCCACTCTTCAGCATGAACATCACGGAATCTCCTCAGTGTTTCAATACTTGTGTCCTACACATACATACAAGCTTCTTAATGGCCACGTGGTTTATGCACCACTCAAGTTCATCACCTTATCACAAAGCAAATATGAAGGAAGCTCCGTGGCTGTCCTCTTAGATGCCTGGGACCCATTTTCACTGTAACTCTGGGAGACCGCACCATGGATTCACGGACAAGGCCTCTGGTTTACTCCCAGGCCTACCACCTCTCCCTGGAGCACTTGCAGCTAGTACTTTGCTCTTAGGCTCAGCTTCCCCACTGTTAAAACAAGAGTTGTTGTGGAGAAAAAGCCTTTACCACCACCCACCATTCCAAATATTTCATCCTAGGAGGACAGTCCTTTCATTGGAATAACGCAGCCAGCCCTCACTGCACACCAATCTCCCTCCGCACCTGCCTGCACCCCACCCTAGGGGAAAAGAAGCGTCTTACCTGACTTGTGAGCTTGGGGACCTAGTGGCTGACCCCTGTCTCTTCTCTTTCTCTTTGGATTCTTCCTGCCTCTGAGAGAATGTGTGCTGCTCCTCCATGTAACACCCTGATGGGCAGCCTCCTCAGGGCAGGCTGGGTCTCTTCTGCCTGTTGGGTAGGTCAGGATTAGTAAACGCACTTGCCAATAGCTCTAAGTCACAATCTTCACATTTCAGGAGGAAGTTCACATTGTGGTCTCCATCTCCACTGCTCTTTTGCTCACTTCTCAGTTGGTTCTGAACTTTGGATAAAGAATATTACTTTTTAGCCCCATCATATCTCAACAGGGATAACAGTTATACCACAAGGTTGTCTTAATAATATTATATTTGGAAGAATATAAAACATTTGTATCTATAAGGAGTTAGTATTTCAATTTCATAGCCAGTTTTTAAGGATTTAGTCATTCAATCAGGTGACAGTTTTGACTAATTCTACTAAGAGGGATAAACTTAAGGTAATACCTAATTATGCTTGAAATAAAACATCTTCCATCCAACGTTGTCAGTTGTACATGGTTTATTTTTAAATATTTAATACAATTTTAATTTTGTAAGTAGGTGACAGAAAATATTACTGCACTGGATACAGTCTGGAGCAGCTGTGGGCAAACTACGGCCCACGGGCCGAATCCGGCCCGTTTGAAATGAATAAAACTATTGAAAAAAAAGACCGTACCCTTTTATGTAATGATGTTTACTTTGAATTTATATTAGTTCACACAAACACTCCATCCATGCTTTTGTTCCGGCCCTCCAGTCCAGTTTAAGAACCCATTGTGGCCCTCGAGTCAAAAAGTTTCCCCACCCCTGGTCTAGAGTTTAGAAAATTATTGGAATATTGGCTGCAAAGAATTTTTTGAAATCTGGTACTTTTTCATAACTTTACCTCTGTGAACTATAACACCTTTTAAACATGAACTTGTGTAGAGACCGCCTGGGAAGGCACATGGACATTTCTTTAATTATTGTCAGCTGAATCCAGTGGCGTTGGCAGAGCCACATCCTGGAAACACGCCTTACCAGAGGCAGGAGTGTTGTCAGCCTGACCTTCAGCCCAGGTGCCAGGGGGTGGGTTTCGTTATCTAAATCCAGCCAAGCACCAGGAATGAATAGGACTCGGGCCCACCCAAGAATGCACATAATCTCCTTTGTCTTGACCTTTAGTAAAACTTCCTGGTTTTTGCTGTATAAAGTAAACTCGCTGTATTGGCTCTGGGTCCCTGGCTCTCCATCAGAGGACAGTGGTCCCACCCAGTCCCAGCATTCCCTACTGTATTTGTGTCTGTCTCTTTCATTTTCTCGATCCCCTGTAACCCCTACTCAGGAACCGGACCGCTCTCTAGCCGTGCTAGATGCGGAAAAGAGAGAAATATTTACAAACTTGTAACTTTGAAAAAACTAAAACTTGAATTGAACACACCTAATAATTCTGCATGCTTTTAACCTAAGAACGGCAGTCTTCAGCTGGCCACACAGCATCCTCCCATGGCCTCCAGTGAAAATGGGTGCACTATCATCAAGTTCACTCATTGTCCTGGGTACTGGTAAACAAAACAGAGATGGCCCTTGTATTCATGGAGATAGCATTAGAAAGTAAAGTATGGCCACAAAGTTTTGATTTGCAAATCACTTTTCAATATTTCATAAGCCAGCCTTGATAATTCTCACTAAACCAAAATTGGCAAGGCCCCAAATACTTCATTTTGAGAAAGGAAATTAATATTGTGTATAGCCTTATACACAGTCCTGTTTAATTCTCATAATAGCTTTAAGAAAGATACTTTTTCATTATTTAATAGATGAAGGAAGTAAGGCTTGTCAAAATTACATAATACCAACGAAATCAGGCACTGCGGTTACTGAAAGAGGAGACTTCTAACTCATGTGATCTGATTCCAAAGCCCCATAGTTTTACGCTGGAATGGTTCAGTTCATATCAATATATATCCCAAGTCAAAATTGTTATGAGAAAGACTTTTAAAGAATAAAAATGATGTACATAACAACTTTAGTAAACTATTACTAGAGACACATCAATACTTTGATTGCTAGACTGAACTCCTTTAAACATATCCTTGCTCACATGTACAATAACTTTTCATATCACAGTGTTGACCTGTAACATAATTCACACTCCATCTCTCCTAAGTCTCACTGCCTGAGTGCAGTTGAACAGATTCAAGATGCAGCAATGGAATTTCCTTGGTTCAAATCCTGGCTCTGCCACAGAATAGCTGTGGGACCTTACACAAGTAATTAACATTGCTGTGCCTGTTTCTGCATCTGCACACGATGAGTAGCATCTAGTGCAGTGATGGCGAGCCTTTTGAGCTTGGCGTGTCAGCATTTTGAAAAACTCTAACTTAACTCTGGTGCCATGTCACATATAGAAACTTTTTGATATTTGTAACCATAGTAAAACAAAGACTTATATTTTTGATATTTATTTTATATATTTAAATGCCATTTAACAAAGAAAAATCAACCAAAAAAATGAGTTCGCATGTCACCTCTGACACGCGTGTCATAGGTTCACCATCACTGATCTAGTGCCTAGTGTTTTGGTATTAAATGACCAAGATGCAGATATGAGGGCTCTTGGCTGGGCAATAACTGCTCCATGAACTTGTCAGTGTCCTCTAAGCAAAGATCACCAGGGGCACATCTGCCGCTCTAGAGAGCTGCTTCCCTGTCTCACTGCAAGGAGAAAGGTACACCGTGGGGGGAGCATGGGGTATCTCAGTAAGAGGCTATTAGGAAGAACTTACTACAGGATAGAGCCTGTCTTAGGTAATTTGGGAGCATTCAAGGAAATTGGGGATCTTCCCTGCACTGGATGCTGTCTGGAAGAAGGAGAAATTCTCTGATTGGGTATCTTAATTCTTATCTGGGCTATGAGAGGAGTGAAATCAAGCTAAAGCTGCAATTGGTAAAGAAGCAGTAGGTTCTCATTGTTAGCCAGGAAAGGGTGATGTGTGCTCATTTTGGGTTTTGGACTATTTCTTATTTATCTTTTCAGATATGATCATGAAGTGGCCTTATTTTTTCTTGCTCCACTGCCATCACAAGGTAGTCTTGTTTGAAGCTGGTGTTCTCTGACCACGTTTATATTCAACAGGACTTCACAGATTCGCAGTGATAGGCATGTTCCCAGCTGAGAGAGGCTGTGTTCTTCCTTCTTAGTAAAGTAGATAAGAATTGTTATTATTTACTTATAAACACCTTTTGCAGTCATTGTATATCTTGAGCCACTCAGAACAACCCCAGGAGGTATGCAGGGCCTGATTCACAAGTCACTCCCAGTGTGACAGTGACCCCTGGAGTTGTTCAGCAAGGCTGCGGTGGCAGGGCAGACATTGCCATTTCACTTCCCGAGAGTTCCTGTTTCCCAACAAACCTTCAAGTGCTCTCTGGCCCCTGTTCAGCTGCTGACGTGGGAACCCTGATTCAGTCATAGTTTCCACACCATTTGCCCTCATGACCTGGACAGCCTGGGCAGCGCTGCCTCTTCCACAGCTTTGTCTGTGTTTGCCCAAAACAGGACACTACAGAGAGTGCTGAACTTACAACCTCTTTCACACAGTCGCTTCAAAGCAAAAAAAAAGTATGTGTGTTTTGGTTTAAAAAGTTAATATACCTTAGTATATTTTGCTCAAAATATTCTGCTAAATTCAGGGGCTGAAAGTTAAATGCAGATGAGCGACTAGTAGCATAGCTTTCCACACTCTTGAATACCTGCCAAATAAAATGTCAAAGGAAAGTGGAATTTCCCATGAAATACCTACTAATAATAAATTTTTGCCCAGCACCATCTTTTTGTAGCTGGGAAATTCCCTCTGGCTAGTGAACTTCTCTCCTGAGGCTTTATATAAAGTGAAACTGAAAGTGGAATACCCACTGATAATTGCAGGCAGTTCCCAGAAAGAATGTGGGCTTTGATTCAAACATATTGGTTCAGGAACCCAGCCTCTGTAATTCACAAACTGTGACTGGGCAATTTACTCCACCTCTCTCATTCCACTACCATGCATGCTTCTCTTCTCTAGCATCTGAGCGCCCTGCACTCCCCTGCCAGAGCACATGCGTTTCAGGTTCTCTCCCTTGAACACTAACAGCATGGACCATGTGTAATTTGTTAGCCTTGTATTTCTAGCACCTAGAGTTATGGCACATAAAACATTTGTTCTTTATTTGTTGCCTTAGGGGAGGTGGACTGGAGATCTGGAGAATCTGGAATGCTTTCTGTTCATTTTATATGTTTTTTAATTCTTGCCGAAACCGGTTTGGCTCAGTGGATAGAGCGTCAGCCTGCGGACTGAAAGGTCCCAGGTTCGATTCCGGTCAAGGGCATGTACCTGGGTTGCGGGCACATCCCCAGTGGGAGATGTGCAGGAGGCAGCTGATCGATGTTTCTCTCTCGTTGATGTTTCTAACTTTCTAACTCTCTCCCTTCCTCTCTATAAAAAATCAATAAAATATATTAAAAATTATAATTCTTGAATGTTCTACCATGCCAATTTGGTACATGTGCTTCTTTTAAATTAAAAATCATATTTATACAAAAGGAAGAAAATGTTTCTTATGCATAAATAAGCTAATAAATAAGCTAATAATAGGCTGCTGATCTAACCAGCTCCCCCCCCTTTTTTTAAGCATGGGATCAAAATAGTTGATTTTAAGGCAAATTGTTTTCTCCATCTTCTTCTACATAATAAACCATATGTATAATTTGAGGACTAACATGTAACTTCATTTGAATGTAATTTTTCTTATGAAAAAGGGATAGTCAGCCAAGTGTATCTTAGATTCAGAACATCCCACTGTGAGGTTAGGTGGAGGAAGGCAGCAAATGGGGAAGATTCCTTGGGCCTTTTGTTTCTCGCTCTAGTCAGCTCATCAGAGCTTTGAAAATAAACTACCCTTTATCTTCTTCTCTGTGTGTATAGATCTATCTGGGCACCTCCTTCATGGAACAGGAGGACTGTGGGTTGCGGCATGATGTAACTACCCCTGATTCCCTTGGCCTAATGCCATCAAATACCACCAAAATCCTTACTCCATTCACTCCACTCTGAACTTTTAGCAAGCAAGTTTTCTTGCATCAAATACTTCCAAAGACTTTAGCTGCTGATCATCATACTCTGAATGACCACAATAAATCCATCAGCTTTTCCAAAGGACTTCGTTTCTGCGCCATACAATGCAGATCACGCTGAAGTGAAAAGATTTGAGTCAGAATTTATATACCAATTGAATGTTTTCTACCAGTTTATGCTCTATAATTCCCATTTTAAAGGCTTATCAATATGATCAGTTTCAAGCCTATCTAATAAAAGAGAAACATGGTAATTAGCCATACCTCTGCTACCCTTCCCATTGGCTAATCAGGGCGATATGCAAATTAACTGCCAGCCAAGATGGCGGCCGGCAGCCCTGCCCACGCTCACACACACGC